TTACAACGTTAGCCAGAAAACAGTGTAAGTGACTAAAAAAGGTCTTTCTTTCACGTAGAAAGACATTGTATAGAGAACTTTAATTGGTTATGTTCGTTCTTACCTGGAGTGCTCTGTGACTCCGGTTCTTCGTTGACTGTGTTAAAAAAGAAAATAAGTTGAAACAAATGAAGCGATGAATTGTTACGAAATGAAGCTGATCTCAAGTTTACATTAGCTTCAGACATAATTCTTTCGGACATGTGATATTTGATCACAAGTACAAAATATATCTTACTTTCACATTTGTTTCCACTGAATTTTGGTGGACATTTGCAGACAAAACTGTCAGGGCTGTCAACATCGAGCTGACAAGACCCTCCATTGAGGCAAGGGTTAGGCTCGCAAGCTGCAAATAACAAATTATGAAAGAGAAATGATTAAAGAAAAGGCAATATTTATCCTATAAATTTGTGACATTTGAAAGACAGCTTCCTGTTTTAAACAGGCTCAAGATATTGACGCAATATTATCTGCATCCATATCACACTGATTTCATCAGCGGGCAGTTTAGGACACAAATGATTAACAGATTAACACACAATTAAGGGACTAACCAATCGGACTTTAGAAACCAAAGAACATGATTGATAAATAAAATATGGGCAGAATTGTATCCTTCTATGAAAAACCACAGCCAAACTTGCGCTTTAATTTTGTGTTTCGTCATTCCGAAAAATTAACGTTCAACCGTCAAATGACCTAAAATTTAACCGTCAACCGTCAAAGAGACCACCCCCCCGGCCATTAACCCCCTGCTCCTTTGAGACCCTCATTATAAAGCGTACCTTGTGGATTGCCTTGCTGTCCTTCATTTGCTGGTTTCCCGCCACCTGCAAATCACAGTTTTAGAATCTTCAGAAGTGCGTGTCAAGTGAGCTTGAAGGACATACAGTTCATTGAAATGCCATGACAAGTGATTTATTTCAAAACCTACCCTGATCGAAAGCCATGCTTATCTCATGAGGTTGTAAAACTCTAGTCCATGTAACGAGCTGGTCGAACTTCAACGGTAGCATCTCCTCTACAAGATTGTTGCTATTTGCTTTACTTATCCTGAGGTCGTTGAATTCTTTTCCACTGACTTCTTGAAGTTGTTCTCCGTCGAGCTTGGAACCACCCTCTTGCCCATTGATGAAGTATTTAAGCCCCTCTCCTGTAGAAGGAAAGAATAAACATGACTGGAGCATCTTGATTTTTGTAATAAGCTGTGGTGTCGCAGTATTCAGCGATATCTCTTTTTACGATAACTGTAGAAATTCTCGCGCTCTCATTGGCTAATTTTCATTGAAAGCGAACAGACACGTGAATTATATTTATAATTTATGCGATGTGTCAACAAGCGAGAGTGGAAAATTTTACAGATCCACTCGGCTAGATGCACAGCTACTTTGACAATGTTATGACAAAATTCACGATCAATAATAGGACAGACGCATCAAAAACTGACGTCAATTTGTTAAGTCGATATAAGCTGTTAGAATCAAACTTTTTCAAACGTTTCCAATCACCATTTCCATCCACGGTAGCATGTTGTTTTTTCCTAATTTAGATCATCCCTGGGCTTTCTTTAAATACGCGGATGTATACCGCGGCCTTACTGTTTCTTCTTATGTTTCCCGGGGTGGCTAAATTAGCGAGAAACAAACAAATTGTTCTGCTGCCCCGATGGCTAAACGAGGAAACATTGTCTTGGAAAACAAATGAGTTACGCACGCGTGCAATGATAAACTGACTTCCGAAGAAGTCTGGGGAAGGATGTTTACATTTTCTCGTCCCCAGGGCTACACACAATGCATGTAAATGTAAACATGGCGTTCGACCTTTTAAGATGGCGTCGGCGGCAAAAGGGCAAAGAAATAGCTGCTTTGTGTATGATAATAGCTTGTTTAAACGACGAAGGGGAAGGAATCCGAAAGAAAGGTCCATAGAGATTGGCTGAGAAGAAGAGCAGAGAGAAGGTCCTATGCAGATATCGTAACAGAATTGGTGGCTGAAGACCTTCTATCGTTTAAACATTATAGGCGTATGGACGTCAACTCCTTTCATCACCTTGTTGAGGTGATAACCCTGAGGATCGTCAAAAAGAACACAAGAATGCGATCTCCAATATCACCCTCAGAAAGACTAGCCCTAACTTTGCGATTCATAGCGACGGGCGAGACATTTCGTTCCCTTGATTTCCAGTTTCGAGTGAGCAGAACTGCCATCTCACACATTGAGCTTCCTTTTTTTCAGCGTGACCTGCTTCAATTTCTTCGCTGTCAGCCATTTTAATTGTTGCCAGCACGCTCGCCGTTGCTAGGAAACATGTTTTAATATGCGAGCGACACTGGAAACTAATCAACATTGTTTTCATCGTGGCTAAACTGGGAAACATATGTTTCGGACGCAAAATTTGTGTCCGGGAAACAAAAATGTTTTTGACTTCAGGCAAAAATATTTTTTGTTTCCTAGCAGCAAAATTTGTTTCCGCAACACATGTTTCCCGCGCGGCTAAACTGGGAAACATTTGCCTCCGCAACAATGTTTCCTAGTTTAGCCAGGCCTTTAGAAAACAAAAGACAAAGAAAACAAATAAATAAGGGTCTATCAGTAAGAAAGAAATACATACCTTTTTTCCAAGTGAAAGCGAATGAAAACCAGGAATTAAGCGGTATTTTCCCGTTTTCTATTGTCAACCTCCATTTCTTTTGAGCAGCCACAGCTCTGAGGATAAACATGCCATTTTCATGGAAGAGTGCAAACCCTCGAGACCTTTTGTCTGCTCCTCCGCTTGAAAACACGTATTTTGGAAGTTGAGGATTCTTCGAGACAGCTGATTGGTCTATTTTTGCCCAGAATATCACGGTAACTCCGTCCATGCACAAATTAGGGTTACTGAGACACCGGTCTTTGGAAGTAAATATCAATACAAAATAAAATTAACTTTTCAGTCATAACTCAACGCAAGGAAGTAACGTAGCGTTTGGAACACAATATTAAGAGGAAGGATATTTTTTTTAAGAAAACGCTAACAAAGGTGTTCCCATTGCCACTGAATGGTCATGCAGTTGCCAGACCTGGATGATGAACAAAAGCACTGAGAATAAAATCGATGTATTTTGAAAATGAATGCAAAGGAAGAGAAAGTAGAGAAAGTAAAAACAAAAAAATTGACGCAGCTTCAGAGAAGACTCTCGCTTGCAATTAGCTTGTTGAGATAAGACAACGACAAGAGGCAAGATGTAAGTGGTGGCGTATATGAAAGAAAGGGAGCGCACGTGTGCGCGGTGGTTCAATAATCGATCATATACGTGGTCAAACCTTTCGTGGGCAAGTTTTTTAACCCTAGTTAGTAAATATACGATATCATTAGTAAAGAGCTGAGCTGCTCAGTAACGGCTAAGTTTGAATTCTTAGGTAAAAATTGGGCATTGCAACACCCCAAAGATCATAAAAAGTATTGAACAAATTTCGGTTGGGATTTTACCCTAGTAAGGGACAAAAGTTCATGAGCCAAAGAAAAAATCTTTGACCTTGGTAAATGTAAATGACCTACTTCTTACGGGTTTGGATTTTTATTTTTCAGTTCATGGAGAGAGTCTCACCGTTAAAATCACCCAAATTAATCCAGCTATTTTGCGCTAGTGTGGAAGCGACTTTTCCTCTTGATTTCGAGTCAACAATTCCAGCTCCATCCTGAGGTACACGGAACAAAAGACATTATTGAAATAGTAGAGCAAAATCATGATCATTATCATACCACTGTGGGCCTCCTTCGAACAATCCCGCGTGGCTAGAGCCGGGCGGCTGATATGATTCATGGTGCGGAGCGTTAAAAATTGAGTCAGAGAATAACAAACATTTCTTTTGTCGTCTTGTACATGTTTGACATGGCGGTTATTGCTGCTTGTGTAATTTCTCAATATTAGTAATCTTTTTTGGAAAATTGAGAAATAGAAATAGGGGCTATTTATTTATATTCCTTTCTGAAGAAGAAAACGTTAAATTCTCACGAGAGGTTCCAATTGATAAGGCGTCAGCTAAGGAGCCGTTTAGAGACTGGAATCTCTTGAAACCTCAAGCTAGAATGCTGTAACCTTCAACCTTGGTTTTACCCAATACCTTCAGTTGAGCAGGGAAACTTCCTTTAAGATCTGGAGATGAGTCACTTTGAGCTTCGTTGAACGGCCAACAGTGGGAAGCATCTTTAAACACGGCACCATCACAGCCTCCTACCGCTGCAAATGGAGAAACACTTAACATAATACTATCACAAAAAATACAACAGCATCGAATAGACGGATTCGGCTAACGTGTTTAAAGCCCTGTTACCACCCAATCCAGATCATGTGATGATTCATTTGGGAGGTTACAGTCATTTGCGTGTGGCAAATTGCACGATTGTAACCTCCAAAATTAATCTTCACGGGGTGTAAATTGGGTGGCTACAGGGATATAAAGAAGTTAGCCGAATCCGTCTATTGTTAAGGTGAAACACTTTTCCAGTTTTCTCTTAACAATACATATGTAAATTTCCTTGAGTGGGAATGTCTCTACCCATGCAAAGCAGACCAGGAGGACAATCACAGGCTCACCTCTCTTTACGGACACCTCTCTAATTCACACACTCCTCTCTTTTTTGTTTTACAGACAGTTCCTTTGATCTCAGCAAAATTCCCAGATATTCTCTGTAAAAATTGCCTCTCTATAATATGGACACTCTATAATATGGACACTCTATAATATGGACACTCTATAATATGGACACTCTATAATACGGACATCGGAAGCTAAATCTCGTATCTAACGTTTTAATTTAGATAACCTCTCTATCAGTTTTAACATGTTAAATATAACGTACTGTTTGTGGTTTTAAATCAGCCTAATCAATCATCCAATCATGCATAGATATACAGTAAAAGTAGCAAACTTTATCTGCATTTATCATCGGAACGTCTGGTTCTTCGTTGACTCCTCGTTTGATTTCTCCACTGAATCGAAGCACTACTGCACAATTAATTTCTTCCCTTTGTCACGACCAACATACAAACAAGTATGTTAAATGTTTATTGAATAATTTAGATGCACCTCAAAGACATGATTGGGACATTTTGACTTGAAGAGCACATTGGTGGAGCCCTTACAATGATGTGGCCTCTATAATATGGACACCTTTCTTCTAAAGAGACTTTGTTCCTTGCCTCCCTTCGGTTTCCGTATAAGAAAGACTCGCAGGGTCGTAGCTAGTACCAGGCAAACCGCCGCACTTGCCTCAGTCATTTTTTTGTTTTTGTTTTTGTTTTTGTTTATAGTCATCATTAGCACCTTAAATACCTAGGAAGATAATTTAACCTTGGACATTGCCTCAATCATCAGTAATTTTTCCTGGCTATGGCCCTGACTCAACTGTGTTTACATTTAATTATGACACGCATGTGTCCTACCCTCAGGTATTTGACTTGATTCTTGTCCAGCGGGAAATAACTCTCTGGACAAAGACCCTGTTTTAAGATCACAGCCACAAGGGAATATATAAATCTTTCCGCCCGGAGCTTTAATTGTGACCTGTTGATAAGGATGATGGTATTTAATTCAGTTAACAATCTTACAAATTGTCTAACAACTTAGAATATTTACAGTGAAAACACACAAAAAAATTGTAGGTTATTAGAGGAGACAGTATAGTGAAGTTGATCCAATTGTCTGAGTTGATCCAAGCCTCTCTATCAAAGCGAGGCCTGTTGCACTGGAACCATTCATATGAAAATGAGTTTAATTTCATGTGAATGAAATTCATTTCCATATCATGAAAGGACGGGCACCAAGACTCGCTTTGAGAAAGAGGCTAGAGGTAATTCGGAAATGGCCAATTCCCTCCATGAGATACGCCTGCAAGCAATCATCGTAGTTGCATTCATCATCTTGGACTGGATATTTGTTTTGATGAATACAACTATACCATGATTCCCTGCAGGCGCGTCTCATTGTAGGAATTGACCTTTGAGGTTTTAAACCTGTTAACGTTCAAACTAATTAAGCAACAACGTTCGATCTAAAGATAATCTAAGCAATATTGAAAAATAGAATAGTCTGAAGAGGGTAGAATGATGGTTTCATAAAAGCCAATTACCGCAAATCGTGATCCTTTTGCAACATACATGTATGTACAGCATAATTACCATCCCTGGTATTATTTTTCCAAGCTTAACTTGCTTTTATTAAAGCTTTTTGCCTGGTAATCACTGGTGAATTATTAGACGGTTGAATAAATAAAACGGAAAAGGGCATAATCGATAAAACTGTTCATTGTGCCTCGCATAACCGAAATGTTTCGTATTTTTCAAAGACCTCCGTAAAAATTCCTCAGTTTCCAAAATTCTAAAATAGCAAGCTCATATGTGCCAGCCTGAATACACAAGTTGGGGAAAGTGTGAAAAAAGAACTCGGGCAAAACAGATGAATACTTTAGAATAGATTTGAATAGCTTAAAAAATGATTTCGATAAATGCCGTTCACAATACTACTCAGCAAATTAGAACCCAAAAAACGTCGTGCGAGTTATACCCCACCTCTCATAACTTTTAGAATGCATGGCTCGTTCGGTGATATTACGGAAAATAATCAAAGGTAATTCGACGTTTATTAACTTTTTTAAAAGATTCTGACTCAGAAGCTCTATGAGATCTATCCAATACCTGTTTTTCCGTTTTTGCCTTACCTTCGCAAGATCCCATGCTGGCATGAATCCCAAATTATCATGCCTTATTTTTATCTTTTTTATTTCACCAACGTCCGCTAATTGCAGGTCAAAGTTGTCGACTCTGAAAGAGAACCATGATTCGGTTACCAAGAAAACAAACAAAGTTCATTTTGAAGGAACTTGTGAGCATGGCAGGGCGTGAATACGTAACTGGGGAATAAATAACAATTTCGATCCAGATGGCACTATTAAATTATTCCAGATGGGTAAATGGATTGATTGATTAATTGATCGATTTATTAATGGCCTGAGGCTAGCTAGGATCTGCATGTACGCCTCCCTCGTCTCAGTTATTTTATATGATATTATTACATATGATATTGATGTGAGTAAGAGTAAAGGTAGTTGGATGGATGGACTTACTTTCCTTTCTCGAAGTTGTTTTCAAAAAATTTTCCCTTAAGTTTCTTTTCCATTGATTGTCCGTTAGACCCGTAAATGGTGATAAAAACGTTAGCATCCGTTCCTGCTCCATCTTTCACACCGGTAGTGACCTCGACTTTATACTCAGCTGCAATGAATAAAAAATTATTTGTGACTGACGTGCGAGGCGGCGTGGCCGAGTGGTTAAGGGCGCTGGATTGAAAATCGAGACGTCCCTGGTTCAAATCATCCGCCCTACAACTATCTGGAACTTTTCTCGTAGTCCCGAGTTAAACTCTTCAACCGCATTATGTAAATAGCCAACTGGTCTGCCGAGTGCAATATTTGTTTGCTTATTTACAGTGTCCACAATTAGCCCCACAGTGCTAAGTACATTTGATACTAGATATAGTTATTCATTTCATATACTTTTTTATATTTCATTTATTAATCAATAATTTCCGTGCTTACTTTCAAATGTCAAACGAGAGAAATGTATATGTTTTACAGTGATGCACGCCATGTTTTTAGCCCTTGACAAAGCTAATAACTTTTGGCCAACTCTTTAATGGTTTTTATCCGATTTGACCAATCAAAATAACACAGAAGCTTGCGGTGACAGCTGGGGTAGGGAGCTTGATACGTAAAAAACGCTGCCTAAGTACCTTGCGTATTTCCGACGCCACCATGCAAACATCTCAGATTGGGATTGATCGTATCAAATAAAGTTCACTCAATTAAGTACTTAAGTACGTTAGTGCTAAAACATGATAAATTTGCAGCGTAAGTTGTTTCCGTTTTATGCGAACACATGCATGTAGACTCCTTTCTCCTCGATAACTTTCAAGTTGCCGAGAGTACGTCTTAATGACGCCAGTGATTGACAAGTTTATAGCTGAATACCGGAGCTTGCTTCATCAAAGGATTGTCAGCTTCAATTGTATTGGAAAGTCGGAAGTATCGAAGAGAAAGGGATCTTATTAGTTCTTTAATTATTAACTCAGATTCTAATTCAGATTTTTTCCTTCTCAAGCCCCTTTTGGAGAGGTTAAAGTGTGTTTAAGTATGTATATGCAATTGTGATTTATTTAAGATCAGCATTAGGGTGGTTTTGAACTGAGTGTCGAAGGTAATCAGGCAATTACTTTGGTTTTGGTTTTGTTATTGGTTTTGGGCTGAGTAGTCTACTGTAACTGCTAGAGCAATTTGTCGTGGTTTTGGTTTTACGACACTCAATTTAAAACCACTCTACCTTAATCATAACTCTTAACACCGATACCATTATAATATTAATAAAAAAAGAAAAAATATATATCTATCTTTCTATTTTTTTTTTTTTATTTGCGTTATTTCTCTTTAGGTTCTTATTTTCATATACCTTCTCTTCTTTCTCTTATTCTCCCGTAGTGACGCGCGTGTGCGCTTTGTCCTGATAAAGCAAAACACGAGAAACATTAAAAGTGAGCCAGCAATCAAATTATATAAGAGGTGCAACTGGAGTTTTAGCACAGACTATAAGCACGAGTGTGCCCCGGAGGGGGGGCCGGTTCATATAAAATGGACAGGTGTGGTCGTCGTACCTTTTGGGGGTTAAAGAGCGGTTTTGGTGCGTCTTAGTACCTCTCAGTACTCTTATTTTGTATGTTCCGACTGTCATGCACCATTTCCTCAGTTTATTAGCCAATCGGATGCGAGTGGTACCCTGTGCGAGTATCCAGAATAAAACCTTAGGCCCGAATAATGAATTCAATGTTAAAATGCTAATTTCGACATTTTCTCTGTATTAGAAACTTGGACATCAGTCATTCTGTTTGTACAAAATGCATGCGTGGCTCAGCAGAAAAGCGAAGAAGGCATTTTATGCTCAAGCCACAGCTTGCGCCTGCACCGGGCGATGAAACTGCCTCTTGAAGCTTATCGCTTACTCAACTAAGTCGGACAGCAATAACCCTCATGGTGCGGAGACAACAAAGAAAACAGCTTACAGATGCATAAAAGAGCAATCGGTCTCAAAATGTACAGCATTTACTACAAATGTTACCAAAGGCTGGTTTTCACTAGCGCATAATCATAAGCATAAGCCGACGTATGTTGACTCACAGTAAGATACTGTTAAAGTGCCCTTTGTTTGGAAATTTTCCCAATAAAAGGTGCTAATTATCAACAGATCACTGCGTCTGCATATGTCGGCTTATGCTAATACTTATGCGCTAGTGAAACTGAGCCAGCCTTTAGGAATAACATTTGCTGTCAAAATTTAAGACCGCTATGATGAATCATCAAATACGAAGACAATACAAAAATTCTAAATACCTAAGACCACTCCTGCGAGCAACAATGTATACAGAGTTCCCACGAAGGCCATTGTTCAGTCACTCAACCTAAGAAGATTAAAATAAACAATTTTATAAGCCTCCAATTATTGATTGAAAGTGTTAATATTTACAATGCAATACACTGTAGGTCTAATAATTAGTTTACCTAGCAGATCACAAGTTGTGTGAGTTTTTCAAATTTCACTTTTTTTTCTGAGCTGTAGCATTCAGGACAAGATTAGCTAATCAACTTTCTGTTCGAAAATTTTTTCTAGTTTCCAATTTTCAGTTATAAAGCGTTATCTCATTGGGTAAAGCTGACGTAAGTGTGTAACACAGGTTTTTATCGCTTAATGGTGCAACGTCTAACACAATCTAATCTTATTGCACGGTTTCGCAAAAAAATTGTATCATAAAAAGTATCAGGTTTTGGAAGTCCTTTCCGCTTTACTAGGCGTAAACGGGCCATTTATGACTATTGTTATTTCCTTCCATGCAGGCAGATTTTGAATCAAACTTAGTGTTTTCCACCTGTTTTAGTACTTGTCAAGCGTTCTTACACTCTCAAAGCAGTGTGGCCCATTGTCTAAAGGTCACATTTTCATTTTTGTTAAGGTTTGTTTTTTCTCGTCTAGCAAAAAATGGCTCTTTTCGGTTAACGTAGACCGCGTGTATATAGAGCTATAAGCCTCAACCCTATGCCACAAGACCGAATGGTAGTCTGGGTACTCTTTCGAATTTTGCATATTGGTGTAGAGGAAATCTACAAATTTGTTTTGCACCTGAAGTAATAGCAACGATACATTAGATCTTCCATGCACATTAACACCATTTTTTCGTTAGCTTCTCTTTCACTGTTACATGACTTTTAGTTGAAAATTCTTCTAACATTCAATGTGGCGAAAAGAAACTTGTTTCCACCATTCTGAAGAATGTTCTCTCTATTTCTACCCAAACTAACTTTCGGTCTCCTCGCGTAAGCTTGAGGAGTTGATCCGACATTGAAATAGCTGTTAATGGAGTGATTTTATGGCCACGATGTATGTTTATGTACTTTTGATAAATATTCTATATAAGCTGGTTTAATTAAAAATGAAATGATAGCTGCAACATCAAGTGCTATCTTTATGACTTTTTTTTGACAATCTTTGACGTTAAGAACCAAAATTTTCAACATTATTTATGAATCTGAGGAACCCTCTCTAAACTGTGGAAAAAGCAGCTTTCTCTAATTAGCTGAAGCATCTTGAAAATGATTGGATCATTGGACATCGAGAATATTTAAATAAAACGGATTGCAAAATGAACAAAGCTGAAGAACAGCGCTACTTGAGCGGGTTTCGGGATTTGGGTCATTAATTCATCAATTGTAAATTTTCACCGTAATCACCGTTGGAAAATGTATTTTGAGCTACGAAGTTTGTCAATTTATTTATTTATTTTTTATCCATCAAGTCAAGAAATAAATTTAACAGCATCGTAATTTATTCTTCAAATTTTGTTTTATATTTGCTCTGTTCACTTTATCCAACGTAGCAATGTCATCAGATTGAATATTTTGTGACACCTTATGTGATATCGATCTTTCCAGCTGCATCAATTTAAGGAATAGTTATACGTCGGTATAGCAATCTCCTCCAATAGAGTAATCGCCTTGCCTTTTCCATTGATTATTATATCTCTACTTCATGTCATGAGCTATCAAAATATTTTTGTTCATGGCTTTGTTTATCGCTACCAGAAATTTCAATAGCTAAACTGTTTATAAACCAGTTGATTTCACACCTAAAATCTTCAAAAATTACTTTATGATAAAAAAAATGATAAATTCAGCTGACTTACATGAAACGAGAAAAATTGTTTCCTCGTCCAAATGTCTTCCTGATGGACGCGTCTCTTTCTAGATTCTCTCGAACAAACTCGTTTGTTTATCAAAGCACCTCAGGCACAATAAAATGGCAGGTTGAAAGCGGTCAATATTTTATCGAAGTTACTCGAGTAGAAAAATTTCAACAAGATGTGAATGAAAACTCTTCTCTACAATTTTATCAGTAGCCTTTTATCTCAAGCACAAAAAATGTACATTCTTTATATATTTTTACAGGTAGCATTCCTTTCGATTTGGCGAAAATTGACTTTACTTTTAATTCCTTCCCTTAAAACTTGTTTATGCGACATTTGGATCCTCGTGGCAAATTTCATGTTCTTTGAAATCGCCTGGAACTGACTAAAGCCACCTGTTTGTCTTACAGGTAAGCCAGTGTTGCTCGGTTAGTGGTGATTGAATAACGAGAATGTTTTGGAGTATCTCAAACTAAGCAATATAGGGAAACGGGTACGAATTAAAACGTGCATGAGAGGGACTGGGAGGAAGAAAACAGGACCCACTGTAAACTCTGTAAAACGTCCATATTAACTGGTTGAGTCTTGCAAGTTAATTGGTGTACATTAAGTCTACTTTCTGAACTACCGTTACAAGTTACTTTGTAGAGATCGAGGTTTGAATTAAATCTCTATTTTCTTATTTATCCAAATGAGGAAGTGAATTCAGAAGTTACTTCTGAGGTATTAGAGCTTTCCCGTATGCTAGATATACGAGCATGCACCGCTAAACGAGTAGACTAATTTTTTTTGTTTTTTGTTTTGTTTGTTTGTTTGTTTTTTTTTATCTTCTAAATCTGAGGTGGTGTTTCAGTTTGGCACAAGTAAACAAATCAAATATATGCAGGAGTCTATTATTGACTCCTAATTTGAAATAAGATCTCGTTTTCTCTCTCTGATTTCAAATTTCAATTTGGGGGATTTTTCACAGTATATTTATTATCATCTCTCGAAATTCACTGGCCATCTATGCAGATGGGCAAAATTTAATTAGTCTGAAATGGGGCAAGAAAAATATTCCTAACGCACTCACAAGGCCAAACGGAATCCCTAGAAAATTGTGTACAGCAATACTCTAGCACTTCTTTATGTAAGTGATTGGCATATGTCCCTTCAGTTACTACCTTTATTGGAAAATTATAT